GTCTGTCAAGTTTCTGTGTATGTGTGCACATTTTATGTCTTGTGTTTCCTGTTTTATTTTGAAAACACTAACATGTTGTCTCTGCCTTATATTTACTTCCTGCACACCCTTGCCCCGTCTTGTCACACCTGCTCCGTGATAGTTTTCCCTCGCCTGTTTCACATCCTCCCTCATTACCTTTTCCTTTTACCTTTTCCCCCGTATGTCTCACAGTCTCGTCGCCAGTTCGTTGTACTTCACGGTCCTCGTCCCAGCATTTATCATCGTCAAGCCATAGTCTGTTTGTGTACAACCTCGTTCTGTTTTCCGACCTTGCCTTTTGCCTCTTGTCTTTGGATGCCTCTGCCTGCTGGATTGATCGCCCGTGTACTGAACCCTGTCTGGTAATAAACCTGCCTCTCTGCCTGAACCCGTTCTGTGCATTTGTGCCCACCTGTCTGGTGAGTGTTTGACAGAAATACATTTTGAAAATAAGTCATCATTGAACAGTTTAAAAGAAAAACAAAGGAAGCCAAAATTAATCGAGTAGAACATGGAATAAGAAAGAGACCTCATTTTAAAAACAGATTTAAAAGGACTTACAAAAACAAACAAAAAAACAACAAATTGCTACAATCAGCTCACATCCTGTTCTGCTGATCCATAACAAGGTGACCGGGACCAGACGGTGAAGCCATGATGTCCATCCAGTAGCTGCCAAACGCTTTCTGGATGCCTTTAAAACCGGCATTATCAGTGTAGCCCAGCAGGAGGTTCTTTCTGCCGTATACCTGCACACAAACACATCGTTCATCTATTTTCATACTGTTGTCAGTGAAAATCAGACATTGCTTTTAAACCGTGGTTTAACAGAATTATTTTAAAAAATAAACTCATGAAACAGGTCTGGACAAAAATGATGGTACCCTTAGCTTAATATTTCGTTGCACAACCTTTTGAGGCGATCACTGCAATCAAACCATTTCTGTAACTGTCAATGAGACTGGTGCTCCTCTCAGCAGGTATGTTGGTCCACTCCTCATGAGCAGACTGATCCAGGTGTCTCAGGTTTGAAGGCTGCCTTCTCCAGACAGCATGTTTCAGCTCCTTCCACAGATGTTCAATAGGATTTAGATCAGGGCTCATAGAAGACCACTTCAGAATAGTCCAGAGTTTTCCTCTGAGCCATTCTTGGGTGTTTTTAGCTGTGTGTGTTTTGGGTCATTATCCTGTTTCAAGACCCATGACCTGCTACTGAGACCAAGCTTTCTGACACTGGGCAGCACATTTCTCTCTAGAACACCTTGATAGTCTTGACATTTCATTGGACCCTGCACAGATTCAAGACACCCTGTGCCAGATGCAGCAAAGCAGCCCCAGAACACAACAGAGCCTCCTCCATGTTCCACAGTAGGGACAGTGTTCTTTTCTTGATATGCTTCATGTTTGGATCTGTGAACATAGAGCTGATGTGCCAAAAAGTTCCAGTTGTGTCTCGTCTGTCCAGAGGACATTCTCCCAGAAGCTTTGTGGCTTGTCAACATGCAGTTTGGAAAATTCCAGTCTGGCTTTTTATGATTTGTTTTCAACAATGGTGTCCTCCTTGGTCGTCTCCCATGAAGTCCACTTTGGCTCAAACAACAACGGATGGTGCCATCTGACACTGATGTACCTTGACCTTGGAGTTCACCTTTAATGTCTTTACAGCTTGTTCTGGGCTCTTTTGTTACCATTCGTATCATCTGTCTCTTCCATTTGTCATCAATTTTCCTCCTGCAGCCACGTCCAGGGAAGTTGGCTACAGTCCCATGGATCTTACATTTCTGAATAATATGTGCAGCTGTAGTCCCAGGAACATCAAGCTGCTTGGAGATGGTCTTACAGCCTTTACCTTTAACATGCTGGTCTATCATTTTCTTTCTAATCTCCTGATACAACTCTCTCCTTGGTTTCCTCTGGTCCATGTTTAGTGTTGTCCACACCATGTCAGCAAACAGCACAGTGACTACTTGTAACCCTATAAATAGGCCGACTGACTGATGACAGGTTTGTAGACACCTGTGATGCTAATTAGAGGACACACCTTGATTGAACATGACCCTATGGTCACATTATTTTCAGTCTTTTCTAGGGGTACCATCATTTTTGCCCAGGCCTGTTTCACGAGTTTATTTTTAAAAATAATTCTGTTAAACCACGGTTCAAAAGCAATGTCTGATTTTTATTGGTTAATTTTCATTGAATTTTTATTTGTCTTTACTTTTGTCAGATTAAAGTTATTCCTGTGACCATTGTGGATTTTTCTGTCATTAACCAACAATTTTGTTCACGTGTGTATATAGTCATGGATGAAAGTATTGGCACCCCTGGAAATTTTCCAGAAAATAAACCATTTCTTCCAGAAATTGTTGCAATTACAAATGTTTATGGTATACATGTCTTATTTCCTTTGTGTGCATTGGAAAAACACAAAAAAAAACAGAAGAAAAAAAGTCAAAATTTCCAAAATCTTACACAAAACTCATAAAATGGGCTGGACAAAATTGTTGGCACCCTCAACTCAATATTTGGTTGCACACCGTTTGGAAGAAATAACTGAAACCAATCGCTTTCTATAACCATCAACAAGCTTCTTACATCTCTCAACTGGAATTTTGGACCACGTTTCTTTTGCAAACTGCTCAAACCATTAGTTGGTGCTATTTGAGGTATGGTTCGGGTCGTTGTCCTGCTGGAACACCCGTGACCTCTGACGCAGACCCAGTTTTCTGACACTAGGCCCTACATTGCAGCCCAAAATATTTTGATGGTCTCCAGATTTCATGATTCCTTGCACACTGTCAAGGCACCAGAGGCAGCAAAACAACCCCAAAACAACGTTGAACCTCCACCATGTTTGACTGCAGGTACTGTGTTCTTTTCTTTCTAGGCCTCATTCCGTTTTCTAGTAGAATGACATGCTTTTCCAAAGAGTTCTACCTCAGCCTGAATTTGTGTAGAAGTTGACTGACGATGTTTATCCACCATTCTAACTATCCTGCGTTGCATTCTTTCGTCAATTTCTCTCTTCCCCATCCAGGGAGATTAGCTACAGTTCCATGGGTTAGAAACTTCTTGATTATATTACGCACAGTGAACAAAGGAACTTCAAGACCTCTGGAGATGGTCTTGAAACCTTGAGATTGTTCATATTTTTCCACAAGTTTACTTCTTAAGTCCTCAGACACTTCTTAGCTCTTCTTTCTCTTCTCCATACTTGGTGTGACACACAGGTACACAACACAAAGGTTGAGTCAACTTTTATACCTTCTTCCTGGCATCAGGTGTGATTTCTGCATTGCCAGAACCTGTTACTTGCCACAGGTGAGTTTAAACAAGCATCACATGCCTAAAATGAAATGATTTACCCACAGTTTTAAAAGGGTGCCAACAATTTTGTCCAGCCCATTTTTTGAGTTTTGTATAAAACTATGTACATTTGGACTTTGTTCTTCTGCTTTTTTTGTATTTTGTCAATGCACATAAAGGAAATAAACACGTGTATACCAAAAACATTTGTAATTTCAATCATTTCTGGAAGAAATGGTGTATTTTCTGGAAAAATTCCAGGGATGCCAGTACTTTCATCCATGACTGTACGTAACCAGAGATGGAAACCTAGCTCGGCTTTGAATGCAAACGCAAAGATGGAGGCAGGAATGAAAGGAGGTTTACCTTGGAGTGGTCATCCAAAGACAAAGGCTTGACCAGCTTCTCACATTCAGGCGTGAGAGCCGAGCTGCTCACAAACAGGAGCGCAAACAGAAAACAAGCTTCGAGCCACAGTTTCATGATCGAACAGCTTCAGACAAAGTCCAGAAATTCACTGAGTCTCTTAGAGCCACTCGGCTTTTATGCAAACTGCTGTAAACTCTGGCCAATGATTGCATTATCACTGTTATGTAAAAGATGCTTCACTGCCAGCGAACCTCAGCGGTGGTTCAAAGAGGATATCAGGGTCTGAAATGATTATATCAGCTGCAGACCAACTTCTGTTACTGACGTGTTGATGAGCAGCAACACTTGTCAAAAAAAAATCCACAATCTTACTGTGACTGTAAGTTGGCGTATCTGCATTTCGTATTATAACTCTGATTTCAAGTTCATGGAAATAAAAACAAACACCCCCGCCAGGTCACTGTCGCAGAATCTGATTGGACACGACCGGTGCCGTCCTGTCTGCCCCCTCAGCACCACAGTCCCACACAAAACATGGTAAAGGGTAAAGGAAATCTCGTTATCAGATCCTGTTAGTGTGTGATTCAGCCCCTAAAGTCTTTATTTACAGTAAATCTGCCAAATGTGCAAATGTTTTCTTGATTTTAGTGCAACAACCAGCTTTAGGCTTTAAGCTCTTAAGTCTTTGAGCTCCGGACTTGTTGTAATTCAGACTTACAGATTTAAGATGAATGAAAATGTTTGTTGCAGATCAAACTGATTGACTGCATATAAAGTATTTAACATTATTTCAGGTTGTTTACATACGAATGCATCAGTGGTAATGATCATATCGTAGAACATGCAAGTGAATTACTGTTATTTTCTCTCAAATCATCTTCCTGTTCATATTTTTGTAATCTTTCTGGTATAAACAATTAGAGGAATTTAAAACCACAGTCACCTTTCCTCCTCTGAAAACAAACAAACCTGATATAAACCATGAATCACAGGCTGAATCAGAGTTCAGTGACCCACTGAGCACACACACACTTTGGACCGAGCCGTAGCCAGGTCGCTGGTGACCACCGAGGGTCCGGGTTGGTTATAAACTGAGCGGCGACACTGCTGCCATCCTCAGAGCTCAGAGCAGGGTGTGTTTGTTTTCTATCTCACAGCAGGATGAGCGTGATGAAGCAAGTGTTGATGGTGCTGCTGCTGGTGGCGGTCGGGTCCAGCGCAGACGTAGAAGTTGAACCAACCAAGGCACCCGACCACTGCGATGGCTTGAAGAACAAAGTCCCACTTAAAGACCTGCACAAGGTGAGTGTGGTCTGACTGCATTCATGCTTCTGTTTTTATTGGTTCTATCCCTCTGGACCACAAATCCAACCAAAATGAAACCACTTCATCAGAGCCAGAAACTGTAAAAGCAGAATCAATTTGTTCTTTTTTCAACTTTCCAACAGTCCTTGAACTGCTCATCTTTGTTTGTGCTGTTCTGTCGGACAAAATGACCAAAGCTTAGCTTAAAATCATGATATTCCAACAAAATCCTTTTATTCAACGTGTATCATTTACTGCAGCCAGATTCAGTCAACAATCTGTTCATATTATGTGTCATATTCTGAGCTCTTCAACACAACCGTGGAGCCACAAATGACTCAGCTGTGACCAACAACCACATGAGAAAAAGTCAAACAATTTGTAGCTGAAGTGGAGGCAGTGTTTAGAGAGCAGAGAGGAGACGTGTTTGGGGGCGAAATGTCAAATATCTACTGCATGTAAAGCCTTTTTTCAGTGAAGGTAACATCTGGAAAAATGTTGCACATGTTGATTCCACAATTTTTTTCCCCAATTTTGGTTGAATAAATTATCCAAAAAATTTAATTACCATTTTCTTTTTCTTCTTTTTAATGATCTATGGCATCAAAACTGTGTCATGTTGCACAAAAAACACATTTCTAAGTTCTTTCTCCTTGCCATTTACTCGTTAGCTGATTTTTTTCCCCCCCTCTAAGCTGTCAACAGGTGCAGAAGTCTGACTGAGAGTTACAGAAAACACTTGATTGCAGTGATTGGCTCAAAGGAATGTTCAACTAAATATAAGTTTACAGGTTTCATCATTTTTGTTTTGTTTGTTTGTTTGTTGTTTTAAATATTTCTGTTGAACCACAGTTCAAAAGCAATGTCATGACTTTCATGAAATTTTTATTTATCATCACTTTTGTCAATTTCAGCTCATTTCAGTGACACCTGTTTTTTCCCTTGTTTAAATGGAAGGGTATGAATACATTTAGAATAGAATAGAATAGAATGCCTTTATTTGAGGATGACTGTAAACTCCCAGAGAAACCGATTCTGACTTTTCTTGTCTCCTGTAGTACAACGGTGAGTGGGTTCTGTTCTGGTCCGTGTCTGATCACGACAACGGCCACAACATGCTGTCAGTCCTCCGGAGCTCCCACGTCGAGATGAGCTCTGACAACATAACCTTTGTCATGACGGAGAGGAACTTGTACACGTGAGTTGTGACGTCACAGTTTCAGGAGTGACATCATCATCTTCAGTATTGCTGATGGATGAAACAGTTCAGAGCAAAGAAAAATAAAAAATGTGAAAATGATCAAATAGAATTAAAAACTAGCAAAGTAAAAACAGCTAACTAAATACTACAGTATGAACAAATAAAATAATAAATAATAATAAAATAGGGGCTGCAAGGTGGCTCAGTGTATATATATATATATACACATATATAAATATATATAAAATGAAAACTGATGATGACAGAAAATAAAAAATTACTCTTTTTTTTATTAATAAATGAAAAAGTTAAATAATTAATACAATATAATGAAGTTATAAAACTAAATAAAGATGCCCAAATTAAATATAACAGAAACAATAACAAAAGAAAACTATAATAACAGAATAGAAAAAGACTAAATCAAATAAATCAAAAATAATAAATTATGAAAGCTAAATAAAAGTTACAAAATAATGAATTGAAAAACTAAATGATGTCAAAAAACAACAAAATGACAACTTAGTAATCAACTATAACTATTTGAAAAGTAAACAATGAAATAATACCAATAAAAATAACAGAAAAGAAAAATAACAAAATACATTTTCAAGTATTTATTTAATAAATGATTTTTTTTAAATCAGAAAAATACATAAAAGGTTGGAATAAAAATTTGAATTAAATTTCAAAATACCATCATAACTCAATATATATACATAAAACAAATGAATAGAGCTTGCCTGTTTGTGTTCAGTTCCGGTCCAAACCGTCGTGATTTCTTCATCAACGAGACGCTGCCCTCCGACCCTGTGCAATTCCATATCCACGCCGACACCGTCAGTGAGTCGTAATAACACACAAACACACATCAACTCATCATCAAACCTGGAATCCAACATGAACCTTTAGTCCTTGTTTATTTTTTTTCAACAAATCATTAACATTTGTTGTGTGTGTGTGTGTGTGTGTGTGTGTGTGTGTGTGTGCTAGGGTTGGAGGTTGACGGAAAACATGAGGACTACAATGACACCGCTGACCTAGCCTTCTATGAAGGCTGCCCTGACTGCATGCTGATGACCTATAAAGTGGAAGAGGGCTTCTACCTGCTCGTCTACAGTAACACAAACTCACAACAAAATCTGCAGCTGTAATGCACTTTAAAGCAGATAAGGTGTGACTGAGGTGTGTGTGTTTGTGCATCAGTCAAGGATGGGAAGCATCAGGACGCTGAGAAGCTGAAGACCGTCCATGATGACCACAAGAAACAGGCTGAGTGTCTGGGCTTCCCTCACAGCAAACCGTACAGCTACGACGGGGTTACAGGTAACGTGACCCAGCAATAGTAATACATCAGAACATGTGCTTAATTCTAATTATTGAAACAGAAAATCAAATAACACAATTTCAGAAACGTCTAAAACTCCTCATCCTCTCTCCTCACAGATTTCGCTCATAAGAAATCTTCTCCAGACGTTGCTACAGAGGCTCCTGTTCTTGAGCGGCCCTGAACCAACAGGAATCAAAATAAAAGCAAATGATGAACCTGAACATGTGTCACTTTTCATGTTTTCATGTGACTCGAAATGAAAAGAGCAAATCTGTTTTTACCAAGTTCTAAACAGATGAGGGAACTCTGGTTCTGGCTGTTTTCAGGAGTTAAAATCAGCACAGAGCTCATTTAAAAACACAAAATGAGCACAAAGAGACATGAAACAAGCAGAAAAAGATGCAAAATGACCACAAAAAGACACAAAACCACCACAAAGGGATGAACAACAACCACGAACAGACACCCAGCAACAGATAGTGATGCAAAGAGACACAAAACATCTAGAAGGAGACACGAAATGAACACAAAAGACACAGAGAGACTCAAAACAACCACACTGAGACACATAGCAACACAGAATGACACAAAGAGAGAAAAAACATCTGCAAAAAGAAACCCCAAAGATATTAAAAACTATCTTGAGAGACAGAAAATGATGAGAAAGAAATGTAAAACAATCACAGACAGATGCAAAATTAGTACAAGAGATGCTAAACAGACTTGGAGACACAAAGTCATACAAAAAGCACACAAGACACAAAACAGCAAAAAAGGAGATGCAAGAAGTCCACACAGAGACAGAAAATATAGACATGCACAACAAAAAAAAAAAAAACACACAACAGCAAGAGACTCAAATTGACCACAGAGACAAAAAAAAGATGATGCAAAGAGGTGCAAAATAAGAGACACAAAACAAACACAAACAAATGTAAAGTAACTAGAGAGACACACAAAATAGTGACAAAGAGCTGCAAATGAACACCAAGACAATAAACATCTATGAGAGATGAGCACAAATGACGCAAACAATATTGTATTCATTTTCCAGAGTGTCATCAGTCATCTAATATTATGTTGTTTCTTATTTATTTATTTATTTAGTTAGTTAGTTAGTTAGTTGGTATCTATTTTTATTTTATTTTATTTTTAAATGTGTGGTGTGGTGAACTGCTGACTGCACGACAAATTGCCCCTAGGGGATAATAAGGATGACTTTAAAATCTGACATTGATGTAGTTAAAAACAAACAAAAGAAACAAAAAAAAAAAACATTAATTTTCTTTGGTCAACCTCATTCAGCAAATTTCGGTTCGTTTTGAAATCCTTCGTTAACCGTGCGAGCGGAGTTTTGTAAACAGCAATGTGACTTTAACGACAGGAATGAGAACCCCGCCTCTCACAGCTACCGTCGTACTCAAATCCAACACACCGGACTGGGTCGGCGGAGCGCAAAGGTAAACTTTGTCCGACTTAATGAAGCTGCACCTGAGAGCGGACAGTGTTGTGAAGTCTCCTGCTAGAAGCTGTGGGATGAAGGTAGTAAATAAATTAATAATGACCATGTTAAGAAATTGACGCCAAAACCCATTGATTTACTTATCGGTGATATTACCTTGATTAATGGGCAAACTGGGATTGTTACTATTCCGTTTTTCAGTTCGACCCATTTTAAGACATTAACTTTTTCGTCTTTAACTTTGTTAGGCAACAGAAAGCCAACTACGAGCCGACCAAAGCTCACAAAACTAGATGTAATTTTAAAAAAAATACGTGTTAATGGGACATTACTTCTTGCCGAAATTGGCAGCGTCTCCCAGCGACCTCGACAAGGTGAAAAGTAACCTTCTCAGCCCAGTGTGTTTCAGCAAGTAACGTATTTGTTTCTAAATTGCTCTATTTGTGAATGGAGTTTTGCTTTGTCATAGCTGTATAGTGTTCTTGCTAGCTGCCGCTAACACAACCTTGTAACGAACACTTAACTACGTTAATGCAGCCTGTCAGCTCTGTTTCTTTGTTCGGTTTATTTTGGTTTTATTCGTGTTTTGCACTGTGAGTGCCCAAAGCGTCGGTGCTGTCTCACAAAAGTGTTGTCACTAGACAAAAAAAAAGTTCGGAGCTAGCCGTGTGGCTAAAGGCTAACGCAGGCTTTTAAAGTTGAGCGGATGTGACGTACGGGCGGCGGTGGGCGGGGCCTATGAGCCTGGCGGAGAGGAATGTAAACAGCTAGCATCATGCCCGTCCACCAGCCAACGTCAGCGCACAGCACACACCCGCACCTGCTGTTGGTAAGCTGCGTCTCGTTAAACCGACTGTCTGTCCAGGTGTGAATGCGGGGCTTAGTGTCGTATATAGGGAACCGGCTCCCGCGAGGAAGTTTGACTCTTTCCGGAACAAAGCTAACTTGGCTAAGTTAGCTCGTAGAGCTAGCGTCAGGTTGGCTAGCTCGGGGGAGTTGTTGTGTCACAGCAGAAAGCTGCTTATTGCTGAGGCGGCATCGGGCTGCTGGTTCCAGGGTTTCTGTCAGGTTTCTGCTGAGGTGACGGTTGTTGTGAAGGACGGCTGTCAGGCTAACGCTGTCAGCAGAGAGTACACACACTCCCAGTGTTAAGTTTTAACTGTGAAACCTGTTTAGTCAGAGTGACACTGTGCTGAGCTGCTTCTCTGCTTTCTTATCTCACTGAGGAGCATTATGGGAAACTTAAGCACTTGTTTGGCTGACTGATGACTGTCCTCAGTGCTGGTTACCGAAACACACCGTTCCTCCTCACTTCGTACAGTCTGTGAAACAGGTCTGCCACAAACAGCTATAAATGCAGCATGTCATATTTTATTTATTTCTCTTCAGTCTTTTTAACTTTAGAGAATAATTCTATTTGTCATTATAAAGCACAGCTTTTTACAGCAGAACGGACATCATAAAACAAACAAGGACAACGGAAATGTGCTTGGGCAGGTGGACAGTGGAGTCATAGACAAGAAATCACAAGTCTGTAGTCCAACATTTGCATTGCATAGTGTCACATATTCACGATGCACAAAATGAATGAGGTTGTCAATGCAACGACTTGGTGAAGTTGGTAGACATTGGAGGTGACAGGGTGTTATTGTGGACACATAAATCCTGAGTGTTCCACAGATGTTGGATGAATTACATGTCTTGAGAGTCTGCAGGTCGTGGCAGGACTAGAACATTTTCAGCTGCTATTGGAGGGCAGTGCATACTCATGTGTTATGATGACAAGTGTTGTCTTGTTTGGATGTCAAGTGATGGAGGCAAATGAATGAAACAACCATTGCTTTGAGGATTTCATCTCTATCATTGGGCTTTGCCACCTATGAAGTTCAGGCGTGTTCTTTGTCCTTGTTTTATCCCTGCTCATACCATCACTTCTCCACCTGAAATGTCTTCTCTTAGTACGATGCTGACATCCATGTTGTGTTCCCCCGTATGGCACCAAATACAACATCTGCCATCTTCTCTTTACAGCTGAAAATTACTCAATCAGTGAAAAGGACTGTCCTCCAACTTGCGAGTGTCCAAAAATATGAGCACCTACTGGAGCCAATTACAACACTGTTATGCCATTAGATCGAGGCCCAGGTGTGGGCGTTGTGATCACAGACCAGCTCCTTTCACAGTTTGGGCAGATATTCTTTGCTTGTGAACACCAACAACTTCATTTACAGTCTCTGTAGACAATTGCAGATGATTTCTTAAGATGGAAGAGCTGGATATGATGATAATGGGCTCCGGTGGCGACACATGGTCTGTGGCCATGTGGCAGCTTGTCTGTCCTGCCATGCTGTCTGAAACGATTTCCTTCAAGACAAATGGTCGAGTGCCTTGTTATGGTCCTAACTCACATCCAGCAGCCAACAGCCTGTTCCTGTTTTTCTCTTATCATCTGTGGCATCGTGTCATTTGAATAAAGCTGCATTTAAAGGGGCGCTTTCATAGTCACTGGTCAAAGGACTGTTTGTGTGCTGGTCACACTCTCTGGTCATTGTCCTTTAAAGACACAGCTGACTCAAGTGTGGATTTACTCTGTGGTTGAGAATTTGTCATCAGTTACCAGTTCAAAAACAGTTTGTGCACAGCTGACTAAACTTAATCCTTTTCTAACCAGAGCAACAGATTTTTAAGAATCATTCATTCAGCAATCATAAGATCATTTGTAAATGTTTTTGTTGAGTGTATTTTTTATATTGAGTCATCTATCAAATATTTTACCGATTAGTCAGTTAATAGCCAGTGGTTAATTTCCTGACAAAATAACAGTTTAATTTATTTTGACAAACTGTTTGCCATCACATGATGCAGTACAGTTTTAAATGTAAACAAATGATTACTGAGTAAATTGCAAAACTGTAGATTTAACATAGAAACGCCAACAGGGTAGAAATAAACAAAAAAAAAAAAACAACAACAAGGACTAATATTTTATTTAGTAGTGTGACTCCAAAAGTGTCTTTTAAACACCGCTACAAAGAGGAAAAAGTTTGGTTTACATCAATCAAGGACAATAACAGTATGTACCTGTGATAGACACTTCATCAATAGCAAAAGGAATATTGTCCCATCAACATTTTTGCATGGAAAAAACAGCCCCTAAATGACCAGAAAGAGATGCAAACTAGCCACAAAGACATCTGTGCTGATCTATTCTTCTTGTTTCTCTCTTCAGGTCTGACAGGACCTAAATCTTCCGTCCCTGCAGCTCTGCCAGCGAAGACGCCATCTTGGGCCGAGCAGACGGACTTCGTGTTTTTCTTGATATTTCCTGCCTTTAATTATTTTTTTAATTCATGACGAGGACGTGATCCCCCCTGGAAGCTGTGCGTCATGTTCAGTCTCAGATAGAGTTTTTTTTGTGAAACCTTCAGCAGGTGGTGGACACGCTGACAGATAAGTAACTGTCTCCTAAGTGTCCCGGCGGCCATGTTGGAGCTGCTGCCTGCCACCTCCTCTGCCTCGCCACCATCTTAAATTAGCCTTTTGACCACACGGCCTGACGCTGGGGACGTGTTTCCCTAATGAAGGCCTCAGTTTCTTGATTTGTTTTTTTTCTACACATCTTGTTTGTGTACATAAGGAGCCTGTGTTCGTCCTGTCAAACCGCGGAACCTCGTTTTTTTTGTTAGTGTCCAGCGATCAGCTCATCATGGCGGAGTCCAGCTCAGAGCAATCAGCTGCCACTGACCTGCTGATCGAACGCAGCAAAGATGAGCCGACCGTCAGCACGGAAAGTTTCTCCAAAGAACTGATTGTAACCATGACGACAGAGGGGTCTGACCTCGGAGCACCAAGCAGCAACGGCGGCGCCCACCGACCCCTTCCTGCTAAAATTCAGAAGAAAGAAGACGAAGAGGGGGAGGAAGAGGAGGCCACACCCACGCCGCCGGAGTCGTCACTAAGTCTGTCGTCTGAAAACGGGACACTTACTGCCGTCACCACAGAAGAAGAAGCTCTGTCAGCTCTGCTCAGACACATTAAGACTGAAGGAGGGCCGGACAGAGGAGGAGATCCAGGTGAGAGGCCAGACCAGCTGTATGATAAGGTGTCATGTATATTTACATTTACAACAGCTTAGCAAGCAGAGATGGGTGCATTTATTGATGGTTTAAACATTCTTTCCCCAGCTGTGAATCATTAACACAATTTTCTTGAATTCATTTTGCAGACAGTTAATGATCGCTTCAGGTCATCTGCACCAAACACAGTCTTTAAACCTGCACACTGACGACTCATTAGAAAGCGATTGTTATTGACTAGTTTTTGACTAACATTTGTTTTGAACTATACGACAACAACATAACACATCCCCACTTTTTTGATTCCTGAATGTTCAAAATAGGATGTTCTAGTCAAAACTGTAACTGTAGTGTTACTGAACAGAAACACACAGACCCACATTACAACCGAAACATTTGACTTCAATACTGGTTCAAGAGACTTCATTTAAACAGAACAGCAACATTGTTTTGTGTTTGTTATATATATATATGTAAGTAGCTACATCAGAGCAAGAGTGGCACATTTTTGAATTCATTTATGTTCTGAGGAATTGGTTTTAAAAAATATTATTTCTACTAGTAATAAGAAAAAATATTAATCTTATAGTTGGTCTTTAAGATAAAGGACTGAAGGAGTGTCTCTGATGGAATAAAATGACCAGCAAGAGACACAAAACCACTGCAAAAATACACAAAAGAACCAGAGAAAGACAGAAATCAACTAAAAGGCTGATGTCAACCACAAAAAAACAAAGACACACAAAATTAACATATGTTAAAGCACTGTCCACGAGAGCTGCTAACTCGAATTTCATTGTGCTTTCTTGAACAATGACAATAAAGAGGTTCTGATTCTAAAATGTTCCGCAGTCTGGCATCCTAAAAGTTGTTATTGGTAAATTATGACAGACCCATAAATCATCCATAAATGATTCATAGTACATCTGTGAATTATTAATGGTGCTGTGCATGTAAACAATCTTTAAACTGCTTTAGTGCTGTTAGTTGTTGTTGTGTTCCTGCTAATTACAACTGGCTCCACACTGCTGACAGCACATGTTACAAGGCACATTACAGACCGATAAAGTGGCTGCACATGTAGAAAGATGTGTTTGTGTGTCTCTGGTTCGTAGTAAAGCTGAGCTCCAGCTGGTTAACATTCAGGAAGCTGAGACTATGTGGAGCAGGAGACGCCCTCAATCAGCCTTTGTTATGATTGGCTGCAGGCCAGCAGGGTGAAAGAGTGACAAACAGTAGGAACCAAAAACACTGTCATCGCTTCTAATATTCATGAGAACTTCATTTACAACAGCAGGAACAAAGTGTGGCACAGATATTAGAGGGGACACATAATGCTTTTTGTGGTTTTTGTGTATTCAGTTCTGGTGGCAGAAGTTTAAATTATTCAGGGTCAGAGGTCCAAAACAAATTTCTGTAGAAATGCTTCCTGAAGTATTACCGCTACTTCCCCATCAACCTGACGCCACATTTTCCACCCACAAGCTGCAGCCTTTGTTGCAGATGTTTAATTTATTAATTTAGTTGATGGGGACCAATAATGTCTGAAAACACGCCAAACGTGGCCACAAGAAAATATTAAAGTACAGTAACACGATCACAGAGCAATGAAGGAGCATATTGTTATACAATATACCTCGTGGTTTTCTAAAAAAAAAAAAAGAGCTGTCAGTTAAAGCAGTCAAGCATGAATTACTTTGTAAGTTTATTCTGATTTTGCTAGTTACAATACAGTTTAACATAGTACCTAACATGGAACGGAGATGTGCTGCTCACAGAGTTTATAGCTATTACTTATTTTCAACTCTTGTCCCTAGTTGGGTTTTTATGTATTCATTCAGTTTATAAATATCACAATAAAGGATTAAATACACAGCATGGGTAAAATAAATTAATACCATGTTGCTGCCAAAGTTTTTGGTTGTTCCTGTGATAACCGCTTTTGAAGGTGAAAGAATACATTGAGAGTTTTTAGATGTCCTTAAACGTCCACATGAGTCACGTACAGTCAGGTCACTGGTATTTATTTAACACATTTAAAGCAAAAAAGATTGAGCCAAAAGAGGGGGGAAAAAAATCAATGCTGCAAGTTTTCCTAGCAAGATAAAATGTTAGAGATAAAACACTGCAATATTTATAATATATTTTTACCTAACAAATTAAAATGTTGAGATTTAGACCTTGCAAACCCAAATATTTCCCTCGTTTCCCACCTCTGCAGTAGGCGACTGTATGTGGACACTGGAGTGAATAAAAATGTTATTTATCTCTGCTTAGCACAAGGTAAATATTTTTTTCAAGTTTCCAGACAAGCTCTCCTCCCTTAAATTTTTAAAATATGTCTACTGTCAGCATTTCATGGTGACAGACATGTGAAAGCAATTTTATAATACAATTTTTTTTCCCTCGATATAAAGGCGGTTTTAAAAAGATAGCCTGCCTTTTAAACCAGTTGCCGATTTTGGTTCAGAATGTTAAAGAGACTAAAACAGTAGCTGAGTTGTATAAACGACCAGTACACAAGGACTCTGTTATCTGTAAATTTGTCCAAAAATGCAAGCAGAACCTCAGAAGTAAAATGCAGAGCTGGGAATGTGCACGATCCTTTATGACCTCCATGTTGTCTGGTTGCAGGTCTGGACCTGGACCTGGAGGAAAGCTCCTCGGTGGTGACAGCAGGCGGCTCAGACGACCAGCGGGAGTCCACCAACTCGGCGTCGTTTTCCATCCCCAGTCTGGAGCTGTCAGATGGGGTCACGGCCACAGGAAACTCCCTGGACGTGGAGGACGGCCTGTCCTCGTCCTACTCGGCTCTGGGTGTGGAGGGCGGCTCTCCGGCCACCGAGGTCCCCAGTCTGAAGGAGGACGAGGCGCTGGAAGCTGCTGGTGAGGCGTCTTCTGATGTTTACTGTGAGACTGAGCTCTGTGAGGCGTTCAGGGTTCAGCTGTGGGATGCAACTTAAATTCTCCTCAGTGACAGCCAACCTTTTACCTGTAAATTGATGAAGTCCACCAAACAACAACAAAATCAAATATAGCGTTTTTTTTATTGTTGCTTTTTAAACTCACTGATTCAATAACTCATAAATCATAAAAAATAAAAGTCTACCAGAGAGGCTTCTCTCGTGGATTACTCAGGAAAAATTCAACCTTTTTGCAGTGTTGATGGTGAAGCCATATATCCTACAGCCTTAATCAAAATAGTTACAGAATAGTGCAAACTAATCATCTTTCTCCTTGTTTTTTTTTTCAACAGATGTGTCAGGGTCACTTTGTGGCTCCTTTCCTTTGTTTTGTTTTCTTTGTGGTTGTCTTAAATCTCTCATTTTGTTAGATTTTCCTTCCAACAAGAATTGTTTATAGTTACTTCAGACAGGTGAAGTAATCTGTCAGTACTCTGGGTTTGAGCCCTGTAGTGAACTGATAAATATCTAAACAGCTTCACTGTTTGGATTTCTGTTCTTTAAGTCCTGACTGCAGATGTTTTCTTTAAAATTCATCAGAAATTCACAGTGTGAATGTTTGCATGATGTGTTCAGTGTTGACAACAACAACACACTGAGGAGTCAAACCAGGTTGTGTTTGTTCCTGATCATAACGTAAATGTCTGTTTAAGCTGCTCCTCAGTACGACTGTCCTTCTGTCCACAGGGGGCGCTGTTGTTGCAGCAGTTGCTCCACCACCTCCTTCTGCTGCTGCTGCTCCTCCAGCTGCCGCCGCCGCCGCTGCCGCTGCTGCTGCTGCTGCTGCCGCCCCAGAGCCCGGACCCTCCATGCCGGCGTATTACCTGGTGAAGTGGATCACCTGGAAGGAGAAGAAGACTCCCATCATCACGCAGAGTGAGAACGGACCCTGCCCCCTGCTGGCCATCATGAACACACTCTTCCTGCGCTGGAAGGTAAAACACACATTAATAATAATAAACTTTATATATGCACATACATGTGTCATATAAATGTTAAGGACAGTGACAGCCATAGTTTTGCCTTTATGCACCACCACAGTGGATCTGAAATGAAGCAATCCAGGTGTGACTGAAGTACAGACTTTAATTCAGTGGGTTTAACTAAAATATTGCAAAATTACATTTTTTACACAGCTGGTTCATTTTCACAGGGTCGAAAGTGATTGGACAGCTGACTGACGGGCAGTTTCACGGCCACATGTGACTTCATTTGATAACAAATTAAGTTTGCATAAAAGAATATAGTGTTATAAGGCCAAGCAGTTTTTTGCTCCTGTCACATTTCTACTTACTGTTGGCTCATTTTTCACTGCAACATAAAGTCCTGCACCTCTATGGAAACATCACAACCATGGCTAGAAGGAGAGAGAATTCAGAAATGTCTTCTGTGCAGCATAACATGGTTAAAATGCTATAAATTATGAAGAAAAAGAAAATAACAGCTGTTTACAAAAATTGACAAAACCTGGAATCAACATGTACAATATTTTTCCAAGTGCACGCAGGTTTTACCAACACTTGAAGATAATGGTGACCAATAACTGTAATATTTTGCATTTTAAACATACTTGTTTAACACAACCTGCAGTTCACCCTAACTGTGTCACTGATGTGTAGCTTAATTTTAATGTCTCCTGTGGGAAAGTTGCTCTGCAGGCACGCAAGAAACACAGAAACACAGAAAACACAATCCATGCCGTCTCTGATGCAGTGAGCTCCCAGTGTTGTGTTGAGCAGCACAGAATCTTTAGAATCTGTTTTCATCCATTTGTTTTTGTCAGTTATTTTAATAAAAATCACAATTTTAAGCTTGAATTGTGGTCGTTTTCCAACAGAATGGCGCATCACAGATGAGCAGTTCAAGGACTTCTTTCCGCTGTGATAAATTTGGCCTTTTTGGTGATTTAAATGTTGTTGTTTTTTTAAAGAATACATGCCTCTCAAACTACCAAGTGTGTTAATCCTAGCTTAATAAAGCATGACTTGTATGTTGTACTCACTATGTGTGTTTGTTTGTGTTTTCAGGCGAAGCTTCCTGCTCAGACTGAAGTTGTTACTACTGAGGACCTGATGGCTCACCTGGGTACGATCACACCTGGGCTCAGATTATTATTTTTATCTTCTTTTTTTCATTTAACTGGAAAAACTCTGTCCGTAAAATATCACAAGACAAGTCACTGTTCCTCATGGAGAAAAGCGACATCTCCAGATGTTTGTTTTTGTTCAACCAACAACTAAAAATCCAACATAGACTCAGTTTTCTTACATGTGACTAAAAAAAAAAGCATCTTCTTTAATTTGAGAAACTCAAAACAACAAAATGTTTAAGAAATGACCTCAGTAGTCGTTCAGTTATCAGTAGTTGCAGATTAATTTTTGCTGCTCTTTAAATGGATCAACCGTATAGTTTCTGAAATGTGAACAAGTAGTAAAGAGATGCCAGAAATCCAAAACCCAACAGATTCAGTTTGCAGTAATTTAGAATTAAATTGGCACAGGCAGTATTTATCTGTTTTTGAGTCCACTTGGAACCAAACAGAAAACCTTTTGTTTTGGTTTTAGTCCAGATGCTTGATGTAGATTTTGACTGTGAGCCTGAACAAACTTCAATAAAACAAACAGACCTGAGGTGTTCTTTTGTTTGTTTTAAGTGAAGCAGACGATGTTACTGACTGCTGTTTGTGTCCGTCTGTTCTGCAGGAGAGTGTGTGTTGTCTGTTACACCCAGAGAGAAGACCGACGGCATGGAGCTCAACTTCCAGCAGGTACCCAACGATAAACACACACCAGCACAAATGTGTGGTTTCTGTTCAGTCTTTATGATGACACTCACTGACCTGATTCTAACCTCAACCAGTCGAGTGACGCTCAGAGGAAACCACACTGGATGTAAAAGAAAAAAAAAATTGTGCTTAAAAAAGACAGAAATATGAAACGACTCACTCTTTCTGTCAGTAAGCTTGGATATGATGAGAACTGGTTCCTGATTGTAAAGAAAGCGTTTTAAATGGTTACGGGTCCCACGTGATAAAAAACAGTTTTCATAGATGTTTGTATGTCTTTAAAACTTGGAGTTGTTGAATAAAAGCCGTGAGAATCGATCAGTTTAAGTGCTGATATTAAATCTAAATGTGCTGGCTGTGTTTTGCAGAACATGAGCGATGCCATGGCCGTCCTCCCGAAGCTTTCCACCGGCCTCGACGTCAACGTTCGCTTCACTGGAGTCACCGACTTTGAATACACGCCAGAGTGCATCGTGTTCGACCTGCTGGACATCCCGCTGTACCACGGCTGGCTGGTCGACCCTCAGGTAACGCGCTAGTTAACCCTCCGAACACCAAGCGCTTTGGTGTTTTGTTCCTTCCTTCACATTTTTTCCTCATTGTGAGCTCGTTTTTTGGCTACAATACAAAGTTCTGCACTTCAATGGACACAGGGCAAGCATGAAGACAAAACAATCAACAAACAACATTTTTCTTTTCTTTAGATAATTTGCAGCTTAAATTTTTAATTTGACTCCTGTCTGCCCTGTTTAAACTAGGGATTGTTAATGACTATTCATCAATTTAATAATTTAATACTGTTAAAGCTGGAGACGCGATGACGTGTTGTAGATTAGCTGTAGTACCTGCTTGCACCACCAGGTTACTGTTGAGCATCACTGCAGTTAGAACTTGTGAAGTGTTCTTGGGTTCATGTCGTGTTTTGTTGCGGTTCTTCCAGTATTCCGGCTTCAATGCAAAGATAAATGATGTATTGTGTGTTCAGAGTCCAGAGATGGTGGCCGCTGTGGGGAAACTGAGTTACAACCAGCTGGTGGAGAAAATCATTGACTATAAACACTCTGCAGACAGCAGCCGAGTCGGTGAAGGTATGAAAACACACACATACTTGTACATATAAACATGAACCTAAACGCACACACTGCAGAGTAATGATTAATGTTATGGCCAAGGTTTTTTTTTTTTATGTCGGCGCTGATCAATGTATTCAAAGTATGTATTTAGAGAAACGTATAAAAACAGTATGCATTCATGTAAACTTAAAGAAACAGTTTGTATTTATAAAAATGCATATAAACAGTGTGCATTTATATAAACTCATGTAAACATATAAACAGTATGTATTTACTCAAACTGATATAAAGTATTTATGAGTCCATATAAACAGTATGCAGTTCCATAAACGTATATATTTATATAAGCGTATACAGTCTGTATTTATATAAGCATGTATTAACAGTATATTTTTATATGAACATGTATCAACATAATGCATTTCTATAAACATAAATGAGCTGTATTTATATGAATGTTAGAATTAGCTGTATGTATTAATTAGGGGTGGGACTTTAACACATTAAGTCCGATTAATTAAGTACAAGAAAAGAACGCATTAAAATTTGTCGCTATCCAGGACTGCTACCGCGAACAGCTCCAGTGGTTTCTGTGCTCGCTGCGACATGCTTTGCATTCAGGTGGTACCGTCAGCTCGATGTGCTTCGGTGGGATGCTAATTCTTTTTTGCACAAGTTGCACAAAACCACGCACTTGTCAAGGCTTCCATCAGGCAGTTTTTTAAAAATGAAACCTGGCCTCCATCAGTCCATGCGATGCACTCATCGGATTCCTCCATGTTTGTTGTTGTTAGCGTAGCGCTGAAGCATCTTGTGCATCACTGTGATCAGTGGCCATGAAATCGGGTGCTGACAAACGCTCCGTGTTGTCTGGATGCAAACTGCGATTAAATGTGTACATTTTTTTAACGCGTTATTTTTGTTGTAATTAATTAATCGTAACGCTTTAACATATACTAGGGATGGGACTTTAACGCGTTATTTATGCTGTAATTAACGCGTTAAAGTCCCACCTCTAGCATTAATATAAACACGTACTCACAGTGTGTATTAATATGAACACATTTATTGTAATATAGAAACATCTGAACAGTGTGTGTACTGTATTTGTCTAAATATATGTAAACATTATGCATTTATATATGAACAGTATTCAGTTCCATGAATGCATATAAATATGTATTTACTTAGCATAAACCAAATGGTATGTATTTATATAGACATGTGCTTATGCGATGTATTTATATGAATGTGTTTAAACGGTATGTGTTTATCAAAGCAGCTGTATAACAGTATATATATGAATGTATATTAACAGTATGTCGTATAGAAACGGTACGTATTTATATGAGCGCACACAAACAGCATGTATGTGTCTAAACGCATGTAACTGATATTAAAAGTATGCATTTATGTAAGTGTATATGAACCATGTGTATTTACATGTATCTGTGTGTGTGATGTGCAGGTCTGGTGGCGGAGCAGTTTCTGGAGTCGACAGCGACTCAGTTGTCGTATCACGGTCTGTGTGAGCTCAACACAACGGCCAAAGAAGGAGAGATCTCCGTGTTCTTCAGAAACAACCACTTCAGTACCATGATCAAACACAAGGTGGAGACAAACACACTGTAGTACCATGATCAGACATAAGGACAATCTGTTAATGAAGTTTTCTCTGTCTCTCGGTCACCTTTACTGGTTGTTAATAAAGTTTTCTCTCTCAGGGTCACCTGTACCTGCTGGTGACGGACCAGGGCTTCCTGCAGGAGGAGGGTTTGGTCTGGGAGTCTCTTCATAACGTCGAGGGAGACGGAAACTTCTGCGACTCCGACTTCAGACTGTGTCATCCTCCTCAGAGAGCCCCGCCCACCTCCCACCTGCCGCCCAGCGCTCAGGAGCAGCAGAGGCAGATCGACCAGGTGAGGCCGCCAGGAGACGCTGATGAACTGAGAGCAACGATCAATTGACACGTCACTGATTGAGCTTGTCGTTGGTGTCAGGACTACCTGGTGGCAGTTTCCCTGCAGCAGCAGCAGGGCGGCGCCCCCGGACCCCTCAGTGACCTGGAATTGGCCCGACAGCTCCAGCAGGAGGAATACCAGCAACAGCAGCAACTCCAGCAACAGCAGCAACAGCAGCAACAGGGATCAATGCAGGCAGCACAGCAGGTAACATCACCGAACCTCCCCGACACCAACATCTGTTGAGGTTAAATCCACTATCTAGTCCACTCAGCAGATTCTGATTGAATCAGAATTTCATCTCTTAAGTCAACAAAACTCAGAGACTACAGTTCAAATCTGTAAACCCTGCAACAGTCTTTAGCTGCTGAATGAATCAAGATCTTCTTAATGAAGCAGAATTATTGTGACACCCTGCAGCTCCACCCTGAAAATGAGCTGAACAGCAGAGACTAACAAACTTAATAACAATAGCAACGTTTACAAAATGTCCAAAAAGTGGCAGAAAAGAAAATGTGAGTGTTTGAAAAACTTAAAATACCAGAAAAATCTGACTAAAATGTCAAGAAATTAAGAAAATGTCTCCTTAAATATCTAAAATCTATAATTATTGAACGTCCAGTGACTTACAATGTGGAAGATCTCAGAAAATAATTAATGAAACAAAAATGAAGTGAAATTGCTGCCCTGACAATGTACAAAAATAGGAAAAAAGAAAATGTTCCCCAAATATTTTTTAAATATTAAATACATTCATACAAAGCACTGTTGCCTCGCAGCTAGAAGGTCGCTGGTTCGCGTCCCGGTGGGGGCACTGGAATCTGTCTGTGTGGAGTTTGCATGTTCTCCCCATGCAGCGTGGGTTCTCTCCGGGTTCTCCAGCTTCCTCCCACACAGTCCAAAAACATGTTGAGGTTAATTGGTGATTCTAAATTGTCCGTAGGTGTGAATGTGAGTGTGCTTGGTTGTCTGTCTCTAAGTGTAGCCCTGTGATAGACTGGTGACCTGTCCAGGGTGTCCCCTGCCTTCACCCTGAGTCAGCTGGGATAGACTCCAGCCCCCCACGACCCTAGTGAGGATTAAACGGTGTATAGATAATGAATAGACATTCATACAAAGTTTCAAGATTTTAAACAGTAACTGACGTGAAGGTGGTTTTTCACAAACAACTGGGTCCAAATGATTCTCAAAATAAACACGTGTTGTTGTTGTTGTTGTTGTTGTTGTCATCGTCAGCCTCGAGCTGCTCTGCTTCTGCTGTTGTCGTGGTGACGGTGTGTTGTTGTTGTCGTTTCCAGGTCAGAGGTCAGGGGTCACAGCAAGCCAGGAGGAGAGACAAGGACTCAGACTGTGTCCTCCTATAGACTCTTCATCATCATCATCTTCATCGTTATCATCATTACTGTCTGTAACTCCGTTAACCTCCCTGAGTCCAGTGTGTCTGCAGCGGGGAGGTCTCTCTCTCACACACACACACACACACACACACACACACACACACACACACACACACACACACACACACAGAGTGAGCTCAATGCCAAACCCCAGTGCTTTTATCCAGCAGGTCACGGTTGGTTTTGTGTCAGATTCCAGTCTGTAAATTTGTAAGAAATAATCGTGGAGTCTGGTGGAACTCACGGGTAACGCTGTCGAATAAATCTGCCTTTACGAAGGACTCGACGTCTATTCATCGTCAATAAACTCATGAACTGACGCCTCTAATCTCAGTCATTAACCTTTAAATGAGAAGAACTTCGGGTTGCCAACAGTCAAAACTGCAGCAGAGCTACGATTTCACAAACTGAAACAAACAAAATCTGAAACAAAATCTGTCAAATTTTGGACGGTCGGACAAACGAGACAAGACACCTGAAGACGTCACCTGAGAATCCACACGCTTACTCCTTCATCTCACTTCAATTTCCAGGTTTTTTCACATACGTTATGGACCGGACAAAATATTAAGAACATTCTTCAGTATAGAAAGTAGAATAGTCATCTTTCTAAAAACAAACAAAAAAAAACCTGGAAATTCAGAAGCTTCATGAAAGAGTCGAGCGCTGTTGAGAGCATTTACACTTTTGTCCAAAGCACTAGTTTCTGTGCTGCTGTGTTGAATTCCTTTGTGTACTTCAGAGCAAGTCAGTTAGTTTTACTACAATTACGGAGTCTGCAGGGACCAGAAAACCGTTTTGGGTACAATACTGCCTCTTACGTTTTCATTATGAGCAAGACATAAAATCTCAGCGTTAAATTTTGTTTGTAGAGGCGTTGTTTTGGTGCAAGTCGACCTTCTGAACTCCAAGCAGATTCTTTACACATGTTTCCTCTCTGTGGGCTCATTTTCCACTGCAACAGAAAGTCCTGCAGCTCTGTGGAAACAGAACAACCAGGACTAGAAGTAGAGAGAACTTAAAATGTCTAACGCACAGTATGACAAACTAATAATGCAACAAATCACAGAAAAGGAAAACGCCACATTGCATTTCTTTGATTATTTATTGTGCAATGTCAACACTGGAAAAAATGTCGACTCTACGTGATGCAGATAGTTTACGGCTTAGTTTGATTTGTTTTTGTACTTGTGCTTTGTCTAAACACTGCCTGCAGTTCAGCCGAGAAGTCCCTGAATTTTAGTCACTGGTTGCTTCTTAGCAAAATTATTTGTTTTTGTTTTTTTTTTTTTTTAGATTTTGGCACGAGTGTGTTTTTGTGTAGGATAAATCCAACAAAACGGTGCGTCACACATGATAAGTGCAACTGAAAATGCCTCGATTTTTCATATTTCTACACTTTCCGGTGTCATTTCTGCAATATTTGGGGTTCAGAGGGTTGAAGGATAATTCAGATTTATTCCAACCTGCTGTTTTTCCCATGAACATGGATATGATGAATATTCAGGGAGACGGTGGACATCGGGGCACAAGTTTTTTGTTTTCAACCTCTCAGTAAAAACATAGATGTAGTAGACCTAACCACAAATCTATTAATTTGCAGAATTATTCTTCAGCATCTCACAACTTCTTTCAGCTCTTTAACATCAGAAACGCCGCTGAGCTGAAGGTGACGTCTTCACATGTCTCGTTTTGTTCAATTAAAAGTATTCAGTTCAGGGTGACCAATGACCAGCAGCAGGTTTACAGATATTTGCCAACTTAATGACTGCTTGCCAATGACTTCTTTCTTGACTGACTGGGGATCATTTCCCTCTCTCTCTTTTTTTTATTTCTTATTAAATTGATTCAAGAATCAGCTGTTAAATGTGAGCCAAAGACTTCCACATACAGTGACCGAGCAGTTCTTATTAATGACCTTTAGCTGTTCATGAGCCTGTTGGGACCTGAGGGACACACACTTGTTGCATCAGGTTTTAACAGGCTCTAGGGTTTATTGACCATTAATAAAGACAAGCCTTTATAAAACACAGATTTACTGGAAAGCGGCACCGTAAAACGATGAAGGGAAACTGTTGGAAAACCTGAATCTGTGATCTGTGTTTTACTGACTTTAACTGACGGGATCAGTTTCACCAGAAGACGCTCGAAAAAATTAAAACGTTTCTGTCACTTTCACGGGAAGCTCCTGAGTGGAAACTTGAATTCAGACGGACATTACGAGTCATTCTGGAGGAGAAATCTGCTAAAATAACAAAAACATAAAGGTCATATCTACTGAGTTTGTTACACTACGTCTTCTGGTGAAACTGATCCAACAATCGCTTTTAATGCAGACTGAAGTTGAACTGGAAACCAGGAAGTGGGCAGAGACTGCTGGAGTTACCCGACTCAAAACTCCTTTTAGATTTCCACAGATCTTTGTTTCCCAGCAGATTAATGCAGAAAATGAACTCTGAAGGTTTTAAAACTCTTATTTATTATTTCACAGCTTCGTCTCATACATGCAGAAGGTTACTGATCGCAAAGTCTAGTTTGGCAGAGTTGAAGGAAAGGTCTTGTTTAAACCGAAACCTTTAACATTTTAATTCGTCTTTATCTCCCCTCTGCTTTACACATCCTGCAGTTCAGCCGAAAACTCTGAATTTTTGTCCCGTAACCGAGTCACTGATGGCTTCACGGTGGCACCCAGGAGCAGATTTTTCTTCTTTGTGCTGAATCTGATCAGAGCAAATGGTTAATTTCTATTGAATTTATAAATGAGACATGTTGATAAAACTGATTTTTGATGTAGTGGCACAATTTTAAGCATAGATTTGATTAAGTGAGTAGTTCAAGGACTCATGGGAAGTTCCAAAAAAACAATGATTCATTCAGATTTTACCGTTTTGGGTTGATTGTGTAATTTTGGTGAGAAATAACACAAGGTTTGGGGGTTTAGAGGATTTTTATTTTTTAAGAAACCTTCTGGAACTTGTGAGAAAGTTTTGCAGCTGTGAAATAAAACATGAAGCTTTGATCAGCAGCAAGAAGCCAAATGGTCTAAAATAGTTAAAGGATTCCTTTGTGAAAACTGATAACTTGAGGGTGAAAAACCATTAAAACTGTCTACTCTGGTAGTTTAATCGTAGCAACTGGACTTGCTTGAGTTCCTTGAAGACGTTCCACCTTCATCCAAGAGGCTTCATCAGTTCTGAATGACTAGTTGCGAGTTCCACATACTTCTATCCTAAAGGAGCCATTAACACCTGAGTTTCAGTTTCAACTGGGGGTTTGTTGCTCTTCCCCCCTCGTTATGTGAGTCGTTAGCGCTCCCCACTGCCACAAAGGGGTTCGTTTGGGTCTTTTGTGGCTAAGTGTGAATGTAGTTTCATCTTCCTATCCTTAGGACTGAATTCAGAGAGGTGAAACGTCTTCGAGGAACTCAAGCAAGTACTACGATTAATCTACCAGAATAACCACGACCTGGATGACTGAGAGTCTTCACAGACATTAACACTGTCAGAACTCAGAGTGACGATGCGTTCACTGACTGCTATGAGTTCTCATTGATCATCTTTACACGGAAAACATGTGGACACCTGTTTTTCTTCATTGATCCATAAACCAGAGTTTCTGTCATTAGGAAACCTGAAGCTGCCTGGAAAATAAAAAAAAAAAACTACAGACGTCATAAGAGACATAAAATAATAACAATAGACATAATTTCGGTCCTTTCTTATCCTGAATAAACAGACAATAATTGTGTTTCTGTTTTAAATAATTTATTTTATTTATGACTTCATATCCCATCATTTGAACACATGAGTTAAAGTTTTGACTTTTAATCAATTTTTCTTTTAATTGATCAACATAGTTATAATTTTTAATAATTATTTATGACTTAATTATTATTTTTTTAAAATTGCAAATTAATCATAATTTAGTCTTTTATCTTTGATTTAAGATCTCATAAGTTTGATTTAAGTCAGACACGTAACTCATTTCAGATTTATGAGTCCAACACTCTGAATTTTGTATTTATGGCTTCAGTGGATCAAAATGTTAAATCTGAAAGTCTAAATATAAACTTAGAATCATAACTGTGATTTCAAGTCAGTATTTAGCCTGTGTACTATTTTTAATCTGCTGTGGAAACAAACAGAAATCTAAAACCCCGGATGGAGTTTCATGAGACAAATCAAACTACGTTGTGATTCTCAGACGGTTTTAACTGTTTCAACTTTGTGTTCGTCTCGATTTTCTTCTTCTTCGATCAGAAACGAGAGTTTTTGAGGCGAGTGGAAAACATGAACCCAGTAACTCTTAACCTGTTTTAAACGAGTGTCTCTACAGCCACGGTGAGGTGAATTAAACCGCTAACGTCTCAGAGTACAAACTGTGTCAAAGCAGTTTCACATGAAAACATTCAGCCCTTAACTTCTCCATCACGAGTGTTTCAGGCGTCGCCACTTATTTGCATCATCGTCAGGTGTTTTTTTTAAAAAGGTTTTTCTTCAGTGTGACCGAAGGACTGCTGCCATGCTCTGTTCAAGCTTTGTATTTAATTTGTCATCCTGTCATATTGTCAATAAAAACAGAATCTCACTTCTGCTTCGTGGTTGGTTGATGTTGACATGAAGGTTTTTCTCCTTTTGGTTTTGGTCATTTTCAGTGTTTCAAACATCCTGCAGTGAAATTATTAGTTCTAATAGAAGCGACATTTGAACAGAAAAGTTAAAAAGTTTCAGCGAGGTCAAAGTTAAGGCTTTGTCTTACATTTCTATATTCAATCATTTCCAGGTTTATGGAAACCTGGAACAAAGCTGCCAACACAGTAATAGTCATAAAAAACATAAGAACATGTTGTTACGAGTCAAGATGTTGACTTCTCATGTATTTCTGTTTATGTTGCCTTTGGCGACTATTTGTGATATGTGGAACTTTACTATGCTAATTATTTATGCTTTAGCGTATTAATATTGAGCTGCAAGGTGGCTCAGTGGTTAGCACAGTCGCCCCGGTGGGGACACCAGGGATCTTTCTGTATGGAGTCTCCATGTTCTCCCCGTGCAGCGTGGGTTCTCTCTGGGTTCTCCAGCTTCCTCCCACAGAATCCAAAAACATGTTGAGGTTAATTGGTGATTCTAAATTGTCCGTAGGT